AGTTACCACGCCAGGCATTAGGACAGCTAGAGCTTCCTTCTTGGCCTGGAACCCTGCCCCAGCTCACCCCAGGGTCTTGAGCTCTCCTATGGCCCAGGGGACCACCCCTAGCAGGCTCACAGGAAAGTGTAGCTGTGTCCCACCAGAGGGAGCAGGGCCGAAGGTTGGGGGCCCATCCCCAGGCTTGTGGCTGAGCTGGGAAGCGGGGGAGCAGGGGCATGAAGGGGATCCCAGGTCTCAGACCCCTCTCTAGTCTGAAGTCAGTGGCAGGAACTGAGCTGTGAAGTCCTCAGGGAGAACTCTCCCCTCTGGCCCAGCCAGTCAACGAGGGCTGGATCCTGGGAATATGCTAATCAGCCAGGGAGCAGGTCCCAGCTGGGGACAGCACATCTGGAGCCTGGAGCAGCATGGTTGGAAATAGACTGGGACAAACATACAGAAGTCTCCTAGGGCCAGGGAGCCAAGGCAGAGGAAGGGGGGGCCTCCTGGCTGAGGGGTTCCTGGGCTGGGCAGGGGTGGGGCAGCAAGGAGGAAGCAGACAGTGGGGGTGGCCTGGATGGAGAAGTTGGAGGTCTGGGGAGGGAAGGGAGGGCTCAGAAATGCACCAATGGTGGGATCTTCTACTAAATTTGCAGTGACAAAGGGCTGACCCCTAAGAGTCACAGGCTGACATCCAGGTCTCCCCCTGCCCCGTTCACTCATTTGCCCAGCAGCTGACCAAGCACCACCAAACTGGGATCAAGATCCCGAATCCGGAGCCTTTGCTCAACCACTAATGAGCTGTGTGACTGTGGCTATGTAACTCACCCTTTCTGGTCTCAGTTTCCTTCTCCCCTCAAAACAGGATTGGATGAAATGCCCTCCAGGATTCCTTCTGGCTATAACCCTACCGATCCCCCTTCTTTCGTTCATTCCTTCAACCTCCCTCTTACTTGCACTGCTCACAACCCCTCCAGCCCAGGGCAGGCGGGCTCCTTAATTTCCTGGGACACTCCCTGTGCATTCCTGCCTCCCTCCCTGCTCTGGGCCACGTGGGCCCTTCCCCAGAATGCCCACCCCGCTGAGCCTGCCCACCTTGCTAGAATAGCAGAGCCTTAAAATGGTAATTAATGTGCTGGCCATTATGTAAATGATTTTTATAAAGTACTTTGGACAATGTAACAAGAAAGGTAATTATAAAGACTACGTTCACACCTAGAAAAAAGGGGGTTTATGGTAATGCTACCTGAAAATAGAAGAAAAAGACAAGATACGCACCATCATTAAAACCACATAAAAATCTGTATACCTGAGGAAGGGAAAAGGCACAAATAAGACGGCTGTTTCAGAGGAGCGGCAGTAGGGACGGTCAGTGATTGTGTTTCAAGTCTCATTATTATTATTGCAATTCTCTTTCTAATATAAACACTGCTTTTGGAATTTAAAAAACCCAGTGCTCTCCAATCCCTCACTCCACCTCCTCCTGGAAGCCTCCCTAGCTCCAGCCCACAAGGATCTCTCCTCCTTTGAATTCCTGCAGCACAAGTTTCCATCTCATTATGCAGGGAACGGTGGGAGGCTTGCCCTGGAGAGGGCAAGGCAGGGGCTCTGGAGACTCCTGGCTCTCCCACCCTCTGGCTGCCTGGCCTTGGGCAGGTTCCTTAACCCTTTCGTGCCTCAGCTTTCTCATCTTTAAAACTGTGATAACTTTCCTACCCCGCAGGGTACTGTGAAGATCCCCCGGGGTAACAGCTGTGAGCATTAGCCCAGTGCGGGCTCACGGAAAGCTCTCTGATGTGACCACCCCCACCCCCACCCCCACCCCCCCCATCAGCAGCCCAGCATCACCACCATCTCCCGCATCGTTATTGGCACCTTGCCTTGTTCCCTAGTGGCGTGGCATATATCGATACTCTTGTCTTTCCAATCTGGCAGTAGATTCCCTGAGGCCAGGCCCCTGCACCTCAGGGCAGCCAGTCCGTGAGGGGCGCACTGCAGAAGCAGAGGAAGTCCCCCTTCCCCGACTCTTTTCCACGCACGCTCATTCTGCTTCCTTCCCGGTACACCAGGCAGAAACGTCCCTTGCGGGGAGCTAAGACGACTCCAGACAAAGGCTGGAGAGGGATGCAGGGCTGGGAAATCACCCCAGCTCCTTCTCCAGGCCACTAGCCATACAGTGCCCTTCACCCAGGCTGGGGCATTCCCTGATGAAGGCCTGGGTCATGGAGACACAGCACAGAGGAGGGAGCGGGGCCTTCCCTGCTCACCGTCAGCGGAGGCACCAGGGCCTCAGTGTCCTCATCTATAAAATGGGGTGGATACGACCATCCTTTCCCTCACAGAGCTGTTGCAAGGATCACACGAGAACATTTGGGAACGGGCCTCCAAGAGCACAAGTGCTAGACACACATGTTGGTGATTAGCGCTGCCATTTGTCTGTCACTCAGTGCTGCCCCTTCCTCACCCCCCAGCCTGCCGCTCCAGGGCCCCTGCCCCCACTGCCACATGAGGCCAACCCAGAGAGGGAGACTCATTTTGGAGCAAATGCCTGGAGTTTAGGAGATGGGATCCCTCGCTGTTCTCTAGATGAGCTGAGGGAGGATAGGCTTAGAAAGAAGTGGGAGCAACAGGAGTGGGCCTTCTTCCCCTGCCTTTCTTTCAGGCCACTTGAACATCCCCTGAACATGGCCCCTACTGTGAGGCCACCTTTAGCTCCATCCTAGGCGCCTGCTGAAGGGGAACAGGACTGAGTGCCAGAGGCTGGTTCCAATTCTCTTCCTTGGACACGAGGTGGGAGGGAAGGTGGGAGGGAAGGTGGGAGTGAGCTGTGGGAACAGACACCGTTCTGTGGCTCCGTGGGGTTCAGTGCAGTCTCTCCAACCCAGCCCGGTCATCCTGGGTGGCTCCGAGGGTAGTCCCAGGGTGAGAGGACTTTACAAGGCATGGCGCACCTCTGGTGGGGACAGCCTGCCCTCTGATCCACAGGAAGGAGGGCAAGACAGCTCCACATCTGAGGACAAGGCCTGGGCCTTGGGGAGTTGAGGGCTGGGAAACTTCACAGCCCTCCAGAGGACGCTGTCTCTGAACCGGAGGCTCACAGGCCCAGGTCAGCTGGCAGCAGGAAGGTTTGTGTTTCTTTTAATATCAACTCCCAGGCATTTAACATTCCTCGAAGCTTAAACACAGAAACATTTTCCTTACCAGACTGTGCTTTCTGCTTTGCCAAACATAACCTGGCTTCCTCCCCTTCCCCCACCGCCTCCATCTGCTCCTGTCTCCAAGATGTAATGATTTATGGTGTGTTTCCCCTGGGGCCCGTGCAGCTGACAGCGGTGAGAAGGAGGGAAGCAACAGGGCTGCAAGTCCAGGTGGGGACAATGCCTTCGAACCCTGGAATCCGGGTGCTGGGGGGTTGGCGCCCACGGTGCTTACTGAGCTGGCTGCCCAGGATGCCCTTGTAAACTCTTCCGTCCTGCAGCCACTAAATGACCCGGGGGCGTGGCCACCGGTCACGCTTCTTGGCTGGGTATCTCCCGGGGCTGGACAGGCCGGGGATGTGCAGATGGGGCCCCCATCCTCATCCCTGCAGGAAGTAGCTTCCCGGGACTGAATCTAGAGCTCACTCTCATCGGCTCCCATTTCCTAAATAATGAAGGACCGGCTCGTGGTTGCCTGGCAGCACTATCTCCCTGGCAACGGTGCTGAAGAGTGAGGTGCAGGTCCCCAGCATTAAGAAGGGATGTGCTCAGGAACATGGGGTGACATGAGGCAGACGGCTGGGCCCCCGCTGAATGGTGCCATCTCCCTTGTTCAAACACAGGAGCCTGAGACAGGGTCGGGGGGGGCGCACGCAAGTCCCCAAGGGGACACTGCCACCAAGGACACCCAGCCAAGAGTCAGGCACCAAACTCTGCAGCCTCAACAGTGCATCAGAGAACAAATGCTTCCTGTGACAAAGCATCATTCTGCTCCCCGCACCCAGATCGCATCTGGGGCAATTGTTAAGAAGCCTATATGTATACGTACAGCTGGTTCACTTTGTTATAAGGCAGAAACCAACACACCATCGTGAAGCAATTATACTCCAAGAAAGACGTTTAAAAAACATAATTAATTAAAAAGAAACCTAGAGTACCCAAGGTCCACGGCTCAACGGCAGGGTGTCAGTTACCATTTCCTTTGATTGCACGCTCAGAGAATCCACACCCAAAGCAGGCTACTTGTGTCAAAAGCACGAGGCCATACAAGGTGCCAGACGGAGTGTGGATAGCTCCACACTGAATGGCACCCCTCCAAGCCTGCATCCCCTTGACAGGTAAGTGAATAGCAGCCATCTTCAAAACTGGCAGAACTTCCAAAGACACAGGCTGCAAACAAAGCCCTTTTCCCTCTGTACATTGGTAAGGCACCAAGAAACGTAGCTGAGGCATTTATACTCTCACCCTGCCCCTGCTCGTACCACAGGACCCACCCTAAGCCAATGAACTCCTAGCACAGGTGAGTAAGCCCAGCAACCCTAGCAACAGGTCAGAGACCAGCCCCCAGCAACTCAGCTGGATCCTAAGCCCTTCCGGTCCAGTGGCCAATGCTTGGGGTCTCACTCCTCCCATGGGAGACAGGGCTAATCCAACACAGCTCTCACGGATACAGCCTCGGAATCCTTCTTAACACAGTGTTCCTGGAAAAAGCCACTAGTAGGCTAAAGATGGGATGTGAAAACAAAGGTAGCTGTCATCCATATTGTCCGTCCTGCAGGAGTGTGGATGATCCACTGGCACCAGATGTGGAAGCCCAAGGAACCAGGCACACGTGGGCTTCTGGGGCTAGAATAAGACACCATCTCCAGCAGGGGAGAATAACCACCTCGGGGAACGCTTCTCAGAACAGCTTTGAACCCAAGTCACAAAAGGCTAATCACCCTGACCAAGAAGGTGGAGGAGAAGGACGCCTTCCCCACTGGCACCACCTCCTGACAGCTCCCTGAGCCTTGCCCTGGTGCCCTGGCTGTACCTGCCTCTCACCTGGATCTGCCCTTTGCCCATGATCTTGTCCACGATCTCGTTGTTGTCCTTGTTGACCTTAGTCTTGTCATAGCACTTCTCGTAGCACAGGATCCTCAGGGACTGAGACCCCTCCAGCTCAATCTCGAACTCCTGGGGAAAGATGGGACAGGGTCCTGAACCTCCAAAGCTGACCTGGCTTCCCAGTGGCTTCACACCCCACCATTGCAAGGGTGAGAGGGGGTGAGGTGGGCCTGTGAGGACCACATAGTGAGGCCTGGCACAGCATCCTCATTCTCTGGAGATCCAGAGGCCTCCAAATCACTGAGGAAGTGGAGTTTAGGGCTTGAACTGTAACGCCGTGTCTAGATACAAACCCGAGATCAGAGCCAGATGAGCAGGGAAGTGGGGGCAGAGGGGTCACAGGGACAGACCTGGCCCAACAGCAGGCTTGGCTGTCCTGAACCAGCCAATAGAACATGAGCACCAGGAGTGGGATGGGCACGGTGGGGGACAAGCCCAGGGGTCCCCACGGGGACACCAGCCCCTCCACTCACCTCGTCCCACTTGGGCTCTGTTGTGTCCCGGAACACCCTGGTTTTGGCTTTGCTGACAAAGTAGCCAAAGGAATCCACCTCCAGGGTACAGTACAGGTCTGTGGGGGGACAGGCAGAGACACACCGAGTGAGGCACGAGGCTCAGGAACCCGGAAGGGAAAGGGGGATCACTCATCGGTCCCCCCAGCATCCCCATGGGCGGTCTGCAAATCCACACACTCCCTCCCGGGCTCAGGCCCTGGCAGTCTTTCCCTCCATGGGTGGTGCCAAGGTTGTTTCTCAGGGTAATGGTGTGTGTTGGAGGGTGGCTTTGGGGTACTACAGCCAATCCTCTGCAGTGTGAATCATGAGGCCGGGGCAGAGGTCAGAGGATGGACATAAGTGCCCCTCCCAGGCCCCAGGAGCTGCCCAGCTGGGCCATCCTCCATCAGAAGGGCTTTCCTACAGAGGGGAGAGCGGGTACAGCCATCCCTGAGTTGCCTCTAACTGGGTGTGACAGAGACTAGATGTAACCGGGTATCCGAGCACAGCAGGCTGTGAGCGCAGGTGAACAGGCGAATAATGTGGAAGGCCTGACGCACCCTGGCCTCCATCAGAGCAGAGACGCGTCTGGGTGGCTGAGAGATGGAGGGGCGTGAAGTGCCCCTTAACTGATTCTGCTATGAGTGAACCCTTTGTCAGGGGCCAGGGGATAGTTCCTGGGATAAAAGGAAGGGCTTTGTAGTCAGACTGTCCAGGTCAAATCCCAGCTCTGCACAAACCAACTACCTCTGTGCCTTACTGCCCTCATCTCTAAGTCAGGAATGACGACGGTGCCTGCACCCTAGGCCTAATGTAACGAGTTTACTATGACAAGAAGCCATGGCTGAAGATTCACAAGGCTTAACTCCCCGAGTCAGAATGAATGTCTGAGTGGGTCAGGGGGCCGGTAGAAGGAGAAGGTGAGGACTGTCTGGAGGTGAGGGGAGACCCTGTAGCAGCACCTCACCCCATGTCTGAGCACCCTGACCCAGTTTGAGAGGTAAAACCCCTGCTCTGGGGGAGTGGGATGCCCCACCCCAATGGGCCTGCTCCCTGAGGCCCATCCCAGCCAAAAGGACGCAGAGAGACAGTAAGCGTGAGACATCTGGGCACCAGGAGATGGGAGGGCCCTGGTCCAGCTCAGTGGGCTGCAGACTTGGGTGTGTGTCACAGCCCCAAGGAGCTGACTGACCAGGAATATTCCTGGGCCACCCCCTCGCGAGGGGGTTGTGTGGGTGTGGGGAGGGTCCTGGAAGCTGTCCCATGTGCCACCAGCACAGCCTGGAGTGATGAAAGTGGTGGTCCTGGCCATATTGAGAGAAGGGCTGCTCTAGAGTCAAAAACCTGGGCTTCAGTGTCAGAAGACATGGATTTGATGCCACCACCTGTGTGCCCTACTGGGCCACCTGGGAAAGTCCCTGGAGCCTGCTGGGCCTCAGCCTCTTTGTGTGCCAAGTGGGAATGGCATCAGTGACCTCAGAGGGATGCCAGGAGGATCAGAGCAGATAACGCACCTGAAAATGCTTTGAACGTGTCAAGCACTATCCACTTGCTGGCCACGTTTGCATTTTCTCCAGCATCTAGTAAGGGACCGAGGCACACAGTAGGTGTCTGGAAATAAACTACTTTGTTCAGCATTTCTGAGCTCCTGTTCATCCAAGGATTAAGGAGATGTGGTTTCTGTTCTCTGTGAACTCATAGCAGAAGAGGCAATTTATTTTTATTTTATTTTTATATTTTTGCGGTACGCGGGCCTCTCACTGCTGTGGCCTCTCCTGTTGCGGAGCACAGGCTCCGGACACGCAGGCTCCGTGGCCATGGCTCATGGGCCCAGCCGCTCCGCGGCATGTGGGATCTTCCCGGACCAGGGCACGAACCCGTGTCCCCTGCATCGGCAGGTGGACTCTCAACCACTGCGCCACCAGGAAAGCCCGAAGAGGCAAATTTTAAGTGACAAAACAGCATGACAGGTGCTGCCCTGGGGTGATGGGAACACAGAGAGGGGAGGCAGATTTACTGCAGGAATTCAGGCTTCACAGTGAATGTTTATTAAATGACTGTTTGCGAGCCAATGGCATAAACCTCTCTGTGGTGCTCTGCAGGGAGAGAGGCAAAGGGCAGATCTCATCCGCCAGAGGGGAAAAGAGGGGGTGAGAGGAGTCAGGAACCCTGGGTTTCTGATCCTACGTGATGTTAAGTCCTTTTATCTCTCTGTGACTCAGTTTTCTCATCTGGCAAATGGGGAGAAACTATTAGCTGTCTAACTGACTCACAAATTCCTACAGGGAGAAAAATTAGATAAAAATGGAACAGTATTTTGTGAAATACTAAGAACTGCACTGATGTAGTAGATGGTGATTTAGAAGGAAAAAGAAGTGTGTGTGGCAGTGTGCTGGCACTACACATACAGGTCATATTTAAGCCTGCTCTTAGGTCTGTATTAACAAGCATGATTGCCTTTTATGGAGAAAGAAGCTGAGGCTCAGAGAGGTTAAGTGACTTGCCCAAGGTCACACAGCTTGTAATCGGCAGGTGTGGGATTGGAGCCCCGTATTTCTGATACCTGGGGGTGGGGAAGGGCTTGGGGAAGAGCAGACCTTGGAGACAAAGGGCAGGGATGATCCCCCGCCAAGAGGAGCTGGTTCCTGGCCTTTGGGGGAATGCCCCACATCTCAAAGGAGCTGGCAGGGCCCCAGCCTGGGCAGACAAGAGCAGAGCAGGTGAGCAGTGGGAAGCCCTATGCAATGGGTCCACAGGGACTTTCTGTGAAAGGATGAACAATGGCCCACCCAGCCTCTTCCTGGGGCTGGTGGTCAGGGGTACTTACTGGCTGACTGTTTAAACCCCTTGGCAGAGTGGACGATGACATGGAGGAAGCCATAGAGTCCTGGAGACTCGTCGTCTGCAAGAGAGAAAAGCCCCCAGGGAAGGGGGTGATGAGAGACCTGCTTCTTCCCCTCCTCACCCCAGGCTGGTTGGATGCAGAAAGGGCGGGAGACAGTCTGTGCCTTGGTCCGACAGCACCACCTGGTGGCCAGATGAAGAAGCTTCCACAGTCCACTGCTTCCTGGAATGTGGGCCGATGCTCCTTTCTCCCTCCACTCAGCCTGGGTGGCCAGTCCACACCTTCCTCCTGGGCCAGGGACTTCGTCCCATTTCCCGCGGGGCACTTTCCCTCCCCCATGAATCCTGCCTAACCCCTGGCTGCCCGACTCAGCTTAGCCTTCCAAATTTGAAATTAACCAATATTAAGTCACTCTGTGCCAAGCAAAGAGAAGGTCCAGCTCTGCCTCCGCTTTGGGACATACGGGGCAGATGACCCCCACTGTGGAGGAGAGCTTGCTTTCAAACCCCTCCCTTACTCCAGAACCTCCCACAGGCTCCTCAGCTTGAACAACATACTCCCTTGTTTGGCATTCAAGGCCTTCTAAGATCTGATCCCTGGAAACTTTTAGCCGTATTTCTCATACACTACTCTCATCCACCTACCCTTCCCCTCCGCCACCACCCTGCTCCATGAACTGACGACCTCAGGAACATATTAACAACACAATCCCAGTGCACCAGGGCGCCAGATCTTCTCTCCAGCCAGAGGTGGCCAGGGAGTAGTTGGGGCTGTCTGGAGACTCAGCAGAGAACACCCCCTATTCAAACTCTCTGTGTACCTGGCAACTGAATCTTCCCAGCCCAGCGGAGCAGAGATCAGCTATTTGTAGCTGAGTGTCTAGCTAGGTCTTTGTGCAAGGCCCCAGCAACGCCCTGGGGGCTTGGACCTGCTGATTTGAGTAACCTTGGGTTCCAGATCTTACCGTCTTTATTGCTGGTGACAGGAATGTTGTGTACAGTCCTAAGTTTGAAACAGGATCCCGTGAGCACCTGGAGCTCCACTGAGCTCAGGACAAAGGCCTGGAGATCTGCAGGAGGAGACGAGAGAGGGTAATGTCACCACAGGTCCACTAGGACCTACTGCTCTTCCTTGGGGGCTACTGCAGGAGAAAAGCTGAGCTCTAGGGGCAGAGTGGGTCACTGGCAGGGAGGGAGAGTAGACATTCAGCTGGGAATAGTCACGGGTGCTGCTGGAGGGGTAAGAATTGGAGGATCTAACTAGAGAGGTTCACGAATGTGTGTACGAGACAACAAGAGCAAGAGACAGAGAGCTGGACAGCCCTGGGCTTTGGGTCAGTCCTATTGCTAATTCATCGTATGCCTTAAGCAAATCACCATCAGGGTAGCATAGTTGGGGCAGGGTTTTACCTTTCTTCTGTAGTTTCTGAATTGCTTCTCTCCACTCTGACCTCTCATAGTCTGAGGACAGTAGGAACAGGTAGCTCTGGAGAAAGGAGAAGAGAATTCAGTAGGATGACCAGAGTCAGGCCAAGGACATTTCTGGATCCTGGGGCCCACAGTGAAGCTCCTTTACCCAGGTACCCCTACGCTTGGAGAAGGGCAGCTAGGAGGAAGGCCTTCCTCCTAGGAAGCCTGGTGACAGGAGTGGCAGTGCCAGTGATGGCCAGCAGAGGGCACTGGCTCCCCACCAGCAGGGAGAGGGAGTCCAGGGCTGGAGCCATGGCAGCCTCCTTGGGAATTGGGGGCCTGAGTCCCTGATTCCCACGGGTCAGGGCCAGGAGCTATAGAGAGTGGGCAGCCCTGGACCAAGGAAGGGAACTGTCTCTGTTCCATCCCCACCCTTCTGACCTTTCCATTCCGATTGTGGATCCGAAATGGGATTGTGGGGGAATTGAGCAGCAGCAAGAACTCATTCTCAAACATCTTCTTTTTCAGGCGCTCGATGGCCCGGCTCTGTCCTTTGTTGGCTTTCTGCGGGGGACAGAGGACACAGACGGTTCTCTTCACACTCAGACTCCACTTCTCACCCAGTAGCTCTACGTACAACATTCCCCTGTGTATTCGTCATTTTTTTTCCCTTTTCTATATTTTATGATGATTTGATGTCTTGGGGGGCCTAGCCAGCCACAGAGAAAACTGCTCCTCCCAGGACATGCTAAGTCCTAAGCTAGTAAATGACTCCTCTGTGAGTGCGTCTCTCGTGTGCAGACCAATCGATCTTGCTAACCATCTCCTTTAACGAACTCACACACAATCCAATATTTCCTCTGCCCTAGATAACCCAGGGCAACTAGACACCACCACTCTAGCCCAGAGCCTGCTGCCTTATTCAAACTAGCCAGTCCTAAGTTGTTTCCTGTGGAAAACACAATCCAGGCTCTGGGCCACTCACTCCCCACGCTCCTTCTGCCTCTTGACCGAACCTGGTGCTCTCCCATGTGGCACGCCCCCTTCTCTTGAAACTATAATAAAATAAATATAAGTAATAAAAATCTTCCAGTGGCATCAGCATCTCTGAGTTGTCATTCAGTCATCTCCATAAAGTAAATCCCGGGTACCACTGAGACACCCTGCTTAAAAACTGCAGACACCTTTCAGCATAAAGACCCCACCTCTGGCCTGGCACACGGGGCCTCCCCTGGCTGGGTTCCAGCTTCCACGCCCAGCCGATGTCCCGTCACACACCCCCTGCACCCTCCACCCCAGCATCACACTATTATTATCCCTGTTCTCTAACAAGCCGTTCCCCCTCTCAGCCAGTGTTCCCTTCTCCTCCAGTTTTTCAAGTTTATATTTTATAAAGGATCCCTTTCCTTTTATTAACTGCTATCACGTTTCATATCTCTGTTCCAACGCCGTCCTCAAGCTCCACGGTTAGAATGCATCTCTGAAGCACTTTTTTTTACCCACTAGGCTGGCAAAATTGTGACAACTGCTCACAGCTGGTGCTGTGACAGTGTGGGGGAACAGTGACTGTGACACAATGCTGGGGAGAACATGATCGGATGCAAACTTTTCAGAGGTAAATCTGGTAATGAAATGCACAAGCCCTCTGCCCCAGACATCCCACTTGTAGGGAATCTACCGGAGGGAAATATGAGTGCAGATTAAAGAACGAGAAACAAGCTGAAGACTCAAATACGTTGTCATGTAGTCGAGCAACAGAAGAGGATGCAGCTGTTACAAAGGATCTGACAGGGCTTCCCCGGTGGCGCAGTGGTTGAGAGTCCACCTGCCAATGCAGGGGACACGGGTTCGTGCCCCGGTCCGGGAGGATCCCACATGCCGCGGAGCGGCTGGGCCCGTGAGCCATGGCCGCTGAGCCTGTGCATCCGGAGCCTGTGCTCCGCAACGGGAGAGGCCACAGCAGCGAGAGGCCCGCGTACCACAAAAAAAAAAAAAAAAAAAAAGGATCTAATAGATTAAATTGCAAAACAGCACGTGTAGTCTAATCTCATTAAAAAATACATATATACACACACACGTATAAGCACAAAAGAGTCTAGAAGAATACATCTCAAACTGGTGATAATGGTGGGGTGATGATGACCAGTTCTACTCTATACACTTTGATATTGTGAGCATTTCTTGTTATATAAGCTAGTGTTACATTGGTAATTAGAAAAAAAATTGTGTTTACAAAATATTATTTTTTTTTTTCTTTTTTGCGGTACGCGGGCCTCTCACTGCTGTGGCCTCTCCCGTTGCGGAGCACAGGCTCCGGACGCGCAGGCTCAGCAGCCACGGCTCACGGGCCCAGCCGCTCCGCGGCATGTGGGATCTTCCCGGACCGGGGCACGAACCCGTGTCCCCTGCATCGGCAGGCGGACTCTCAACCACTGCGCCACCAGGGAAGCCCACAAAATATTATTAAAGAATAAACTGCTGCTTCTTTTGTGATCAGAGAACAACATTGTGCCTCTCCAGTGACTCTTATCGTGTTGTGTCGCGTGCTGTGGTCACACACAGGAATGTCTTCATTCTCCACTGGATGTGGAGGTCTGTGAGGCATCCGGCACGCCCCTGCAGCCAGCAGCCAGGAGAGGTGTGTAAGCATGGATTCAACTAAGCAGAAGGCCATGTCTGCACACCCGGGGAAGGACGGAGGGCACAAAGCCTGCTGCTCCCAGGACCGGGTGAGAAACATGCATGCAGGATGCCCCTGAAGTGGGGATGCTGGACAGAGCCCGACGGGGAAACAGGCTCCACCGAGGCAGGGTAAACCTGGCTTTTCAGGAGGAGGACACCTGTGCTTGTCAGGGGGCTCCCTCTGGGCAGATGCACCCGCAGTCTGACCCTCGGCCCTAGGACATTCCCCTGAACCAAACATCCCTGGGGTTACTACTATGGTCTTCCGCTCCCCTGTTCAAAGAGAGATGTCTGGGTTTAAAGAATCCTTAGAGGCCACTTGGTCATGTATTTCTCAACAACTGTTCCCAAAGCACCTATTTATTACGTGCTAAGTACTAGGGCATAGGACTGGAGAAAACAGCCCCCTCACTAGAGCAGAAATTCTAGTGGGGAAAAGAGAAAGCAGAGCGTGCAATTTTCATTCAGTACCAACAAAGCAAAGCAAAGAGGTAAACGTCTGGAACCAGGAAGCTGGGCACCCAACCCAGGCTGTAGCGGGCAGACATCAGGGAAGGGTCATCAGGTGAGGTTAGGCCTAAGGCCGAGCCTGGATGGGTGAAGAGGAGAGACCAGGCCAACCAACCAAGCCCCTCCACGCTCTTCCTTCCATTCATGCGTTAGGTTCTGCCTGTAAGGTGCTTTCCTCTAGCCACTGTTTTCAAATACGTGAATTTAAGGCTATCCATTGTCCTCTAAAGAGCACTTTGGCTACATCCCATGGGTTTTGATATGGAGTGCTCTCATTTTCATGCAGGTCTAAACAGTTTGCAGTTTCCATTTTGGTTTCCTCTTTATCTTGCAAGTTTTAACTTCCCAGGCATATATTTAACTATATTCTAGCTGTTAATTTCTAATTTTACTGCACTGTAGTTTGTGAACATGACCAGTACACTATCATTTTTTCTTTTCAATTTGAGATTTCCTATGCAGCCTAATACATGATAAATGTCTGTGAATGTTCCATGTGTGTTTGACAGAATCTCAGTTCTCTGTCAGGACACAAGCTTCTGTGCGTTTTTAGATCAAGTGATATTCAAGGCTCCCTCTGTTATTTACTTGCCAACTTGATCTGTCCATTTCTGAGGGGCCTCCCAGGTCCTTTCTCTTGCATACATCTTGCTTTTCCTTAAGAAGGACTTTTTCTTCTCTTGCTTTCCTATTCTGCAGTGTTTGGCATACACTGTTCCCCAGGAAACGTCCCATAATTAACCCCACTGAATTCTGAGCACTGATTCCTTGGCCCGCCCTCCATATGCTCCGTGCTAATGGTTAGAGTCTTTCCCTGGGCACATAAATGTATCTCGAAGGCTATAAAGAAAGATCTCCCACTCTTACATCCTGCCTCCCTTGTCAGACTCCCAAACCTTACCACTTCCCCTCCCTCCACCTCCCTGGCACACCCAGTTCAAAGGGCCCCAATAAAAATGGCCTACTTCACTGCCCCAGCTGAGGCCAGGCTCTGCTTACCTCCTTCTGGATTTCACTCTTAAGGGCAGAGATCTTCATTTTCATGTCCTCCAGCTCGTGGTCTGGGAAGGGGTGCACCTGGGGACTGGCCTCAGACTCCTCAGGGGATGGAAACACTAGGTCAGCCAGGGGGATGTACCATTTGCAGTCATATTGCTGGTGCTTCCTGCAAACAAATCAGAGGGAGATGTGAGCCAGAAAGGAATTTGGATCTTCAGGCCTGAATTGCTGGAACCAAACACTACCTGAAAGGGATTTACTAAGAACTCATCACAGGCAAGAACGATCCTCCTCCTTGAGAAGCCTAATCAGGAAACACTCGTGGAATAATGAGAGTTGGGTTCTAGGGTCAGGCAGCAGTAAGGGCTCTGGACCTTGGGCCTGTCATTCTTCTGGCCCAGAACAACTGACGTTCTTAAACAGCCCAAACCTCTAGGGTATGAGCAAGAGTGGTCTCATGCCTTCCTGTTCCCCATCCCACACTCTTCCTTCCCTTCTAGCCTGTCTATACTTAGCTTATATTCATTATCTTCTAGGCTAGAGATAGAATACAGATGCTATTTTGAATGCCAACTTTTATCAATAGAGGTCACATGGGATACTGAGTTGAGGATTATAAAGCCACATCCAAGGGACTTCCCTGGTGGCGCAGTGGTTAAGAATCCGCCTGCCAATGCAGGGGACACGGGTTTGAGCCCTGGTCCAGGAAGATCCCACATGCCGCGGAGCAACTAAGCCCATGCGCCACAACTACTGAGTCTGCTCTCTAGAGCCCGCGAGCCACAGCTACTGAAGCCCATGTGCCTAGAGCCCGTGCTCTGCAACAAGAGAAGCCACCGCAATGGGAAGCCCACGCACCACAACAAAGAGTAGCCCCTACTCGCCGCAACTAGAGAGAGCCCGCACACAGCAATGAAGACCCAACGCAGCCAAAAATAAATAAATAAATTTATTTTTTAAAAAAAGGAGTAAAAAAGAAGTAATCTCTGAGAATGTACCTTCAAAAAAAGAAGGCCACATCCAAGTCTAACGAGAAACGGTGCCATGGTCCACTAGTAACGTCTGCCTTGGGCAAAGGACTTAAGGCAGAGGTACGCATACTTACGACTGTCACCTCCGCTTTAGAATCATCTCAAATGTCATCTAGTTCCAGGGAGTCATCCCTTCTTCTGAAACTCATAATAACCCCTCCTTCTCTCGCTTCCCCCAGGACTTTGGTTTGCACCTCCCTGCAACACTGAGCGTATGGCTCGTCTCCCCTGGCACCCCGTAGATGATAAGGAAATACAGGTGGAAGGATGTGGGAATGAATACTGAATAAGCTTTTCTGCTCATGACACAGAGACACCCATATCACTGGGTATAGTGACGGAGCTGGAAAGAAGCTTTCAAGTCAGATTAAGGTTCAAATCCCATCTCCTCCACTTCAGTTGTGCGACCTCGGGCAACTTATTTAACTTTATTCTAAGCCTTTTCTCTCATCTGTGAGATGGGGATAATAATACCTACTTTGTGGAGTCACTGGGGAGATTAGAAATAATATATTCAAAGCATTTGTCGTGGCACCTGGCATGGCATAACCACTCAATAAATGATACCAGCAGATTTAATGAATATTCACTGAATTGCAGTTAGCAAAAATTTAGAGATGGCTAATAAAAGGAGAATGCTTAAGTAAATTATGGCATATCCACTTGTAGCATCACGCAGGAAAGTAAAATGATGATTATGAAGATTAGGCAGCAACAGGGAAAACGCTTATGACGTGAAATGGAAAAAGCAGAGCCCCAAATTGGGTATTCACTCTGATTACAAGTATACGAAAAAACATAAGAACATTTTAGAAAACTGGAAGGAAATACAGCAGCAGGAGACCGATGCTATGTTCAGGTGGGTGACGGGTCTTTTTTTTTTTTTTTCTGTAATCTGGTTGCGTTATCTTTACAATTAAAACCATGATTTATTTTTAGAAAAAGGCTATGAAGTAAAATAAAATTAATATGTTTTTTAAAAGGGGAAAAAAATGCAGACGGCCCCCGGTTGCTGAGGGGCTCCACAGCGGGCAGGGTCGAGCTGCACTGCAGCCCCCCATCCTGCACACTCACCCCGCCGATGTCTTCTTTAGCTTGGCGCACAGTAGGACGTCTGTGAAGAGGAAGACATGCCGCAGCTTCCGGGAGCCCTCCGACACTTCCACCAGGAAGCCGTCCTTCACCAGCTGCCGCGTCTGAGGGAGATGGTACACCCGCCCCCACCTGGGAGTCAGCCCAGGGCTCAGCCTGCACCCATCCAGCTGTGGGGGTGAGGGTGGGGCTCCAGGGAGGGACCGTAGCGTCTGGTGGTTAAGAGCACTGGCTTTGGGGTCAGGGACGTGGGCTTAAATCCAGGCTCTGCCACTTCCTGGCTGTGATCTTGAGGGCAATTTCCCTGATTTCTCTAAGCCTCAGTCTTAGAAACTGTAAAATGGGGATAATGATATTTGCCCCACAAGGTAGGAGTCATGGTGTATGTAGAACAGTTAGCACAGTGCCTGGCATGTAAGATGTGATCAACAAGCGGTAGCTTTCCACTTCCCTGCAGCTCTCAACAGCTCACACCTGGATTTACCCACCCTGGGTCATGAACACTCCCTCCCACCCCCACCATAAAACCCCCCTAACCCTGCCTAAGATGTTGATCTAGTTTCAGCTAAACCTCGACCTGCAGAACCACTCAGGCCCATTTACACTGTCTCTGACCCTGGACTTCCCTCCGTGGGGCCATCTCAGTGTCCTGGGGAACCTGCAGCCATCTCTAACCTGGGCTCTGGCTGGTCCAGAGCATTCTGCTCCACGCATAACTTCCAGAGCCTCCTCCCTGCCACCCTCAGAGCCAGCAGGCTGCTGTGGGGCTGTCACGATCTGTCCCAGCCTTCCCCGTATTACGTGCCGCGTGACCTATATACGTTGCAATATGTAGGTGAGCACCTAGAAAGTATACAATTAAAATGATCTGAAACTGGTCATGTTCCAGGGCCTCTGGAGCTCTTTCAGACATCCGCAGAGTCCAACAAACTGGTGACATTCCAGGGTTTGCAAACCAGGGCTGGGAGCTGCATCAGCAACAGCTCTCTGTACCCTATTAGTCACTCTCCAGAACGTGTCCCTCATTACTTCCCTCCCCAGGAGACACTGGAGGCTCGTAAATGTCACAAAAGGAGCATAAACCCAGCCAGCCTTCACTCCTAAACGCCACTTAATTACCTCTCTTGGACAGGAAACCCCGTATGTGGGCCAGGCTGCTGACCCATGCAGGTAACTGTCCCTTTGATTCTTCACATTGCTTCCCCTCACTGAGGTGCCCCCACCCTTCCACCAAAAAGGGCCCCCAGGGAACTGGAGCTGCTAGCCACACCTAGGCGCCCACCTGGGACAGTCCAGCCACCTGGCAGCCTCAGTCATCTCTCCCTGACTCCACAAGCTCCCTCAGCCTGAGCCATTATCTTCCAGGGGACTCTGAGGACATCATACTGCCCAGACGGGGGCTGTCTGCATTCAAGAACGAGATAGCCAGAGCCCTGGTCTGGGGGTCAGCGCATGAGGCTTGCAGACAGATAACCCCAGCTAAAGAATCCAGTTCCGACACTTAGAGCCGAGAGACCTCATGCAGGAGACCTGGAGAGACTCCCCGGGGCCCCGTTCCCTCTTCTGCTCCTGTGGGCTATTGTGAAGATTCATGAGACGCTGGACTTTAAGCTCTCAGTCCAGGACCTGAAGGCCTCTCCTTGGCTGGGAATGAGAGATCAGGGTTGGAGAGCCACAGAGCATCGGGCAGTGGTGCCCGAGCAGGGCAGGAGAGCAGGGACGGGCAATCTGGGTGCCAGGCTATGCTGGGTCCTGAGCTCACCTCCCCCTTGGGGGTTGTGACTGCAGTCCGGCGGGGGTCAATGTCCTCATTGATGCTGGACAGGAAGTTCTGGGAGATGCGGAGGGCATCCTGTAGCAGCGGGTAGTCTGGGTGGTCCACAGGTGTGTGCTTCAGCAGGTCCTGGGAAGGATGGGGTGGTGAGTTGCGGGGAGCGGTTCTGGGGCTTAGTGAGAAGACAGTGGGGAGAACTCTATCCTCACTGAAAGAATTCCGAGGGAGACACTAGGGACCCACCCTCTAACTTGGTCATGCCTGCAAAATCGGAAATAAAAATTAGGGTCAGAGCAGCAGGGGTGAGGGCAGTGGTGCCGCTTTATTCCTGCTGCAGTCATTACTCTTCCCCCGGGTAGCACAGACCAGGTGGAGTCTCGTGTCACCTAGCAGCTGGGAGAGACACTCCCCTACTCACCCCACAGCTGCTCCAAGGACACTCGAGACCATCAGTCAAGGGATCGGGAGGCAGGAAGTGCCTGCCTTCTGGGGAGCATTTGGCCCAAAATCAAGCTTAGTAGCCAAGCTACTTTTAGGCCCTGGACCCATCAGCACGGTCACCACAGGCCAGGCAGGCAGTCAGGGCCCAGCGACCCTCTGCCCAACTCCCCAGGGCTGTGCTCAGCGACTCCAGTGCCCGCCCACCCTGAGTTCAGTCTCCCATCCAACTCTTAAGCCCTCTCAGGCCATGCAGGGGGGTACACACTCACGTGTAGGACAAGGGTGCTCCTGGTTACTCGGTCAATGGGCTTGTAGAGCAGAGCTGTTGGGGGCAGGGAGAAAGGAGACAGGTCAGATGAAATACAGGGAGCAGCCTGAGACCTTAGGGGGCAGCCTCATGCCCCCACCCGCCTCCCTCCCTTGCATGGACACCCGCTTACAGAAGGCCAAAGTGGGTTCCATGGTAACCCACACCTCCATTTTCACCCCAGGCAGGCGAGATAACACCAAAAGGGGGACACACAGCTCTGGTGGCCCGGGTCCCCTCCTCATCTCATCTCCCACCAGACGTGATTTCTTTGAGGGCTGTGCATCCCCCAGGCCCGTCCTGGCTTGACCAGGCTCAAAGCAGACACAGATACTCCTCTGTACCCTCCACGATGAATCACACAGCCTTACCCCCCAGAGCTCCAGGACTCTGGGGGTCACACCCGGGACCCCAGAATGCAGGAAGGAGACACTGTTTTTCCAGGGAGGGCGGTGTCCCTGTGCCCCATCATTCTCATATCCCTCTGGTCCAAGGCCTGGCACCGCCAGCTGGGAACAGCACGCATCGTTCTGACCCACACGGTTGACCTCATCTCCATGAGGAAGACCCCTCTCCATGCCCTCAACCCCCTCCTGGCTGAGGGCCAAGGAGGCATACGCAACCTCCACAGAAAGGCTCTGCTCTCAAGCTAGTGGCCGCTGGGGGGCAAAGATTTCCTAAAGGAATTCAGGTGGGGCTTCGAGTATGAGAGCCCCTGAAGAGGCTGGGAAAATGCAAGCTCATCGGGGCCCCCACTGGCCACACCCCTCGGTGACCAGGACACCAAATAAGGATTGCTGGGATTCAGCAGGGACAGGTGGTGGCGGCAGCTGGCCCACTGACACTTCCAAACAAGGCTCCTGCAAGCAGCTGTGCCCTGCCCCTCCCAGCCTGGGGGGTTCAGCTCCGGTCCTGCACCTGGACACCTCTGTCCACGAGGTCATGGCCTTTGTCCTCCTGCCGTGGGAGCAGTAAGAGGCAGGATGCTGGTCTGGGGAGGAGGACGCCAGAGTGGGTGTCCCATGGGACCAGGCCGTGACAGCCCCCAAACCAGAGAGTTCCCCAAAGCCCTAGATATAAATACCCTGCGCGTTGCTAAATGGACACTTTGGGGAATAATGTGCTGGCTATGGAGAAGACGCAGTCTCAGTGGTGTGCCTCGAGCCTCACCTGTTGGCTTTGCCTGGCTGCCCGTTAGAATCACTAGAGAACTCTTAAAAGACTCAGATGCTTGTTTCCCCCTCTCCCATCAACTAAACAGCAGGCTCTGATGGGCAGAACCCAGGCATCACCATTTTTAAAAATCTCCTGTGCTGATTCTGATATGTCATAATGGTTGAAAACCACTGCTTTGTGCAAACACATCTCCCATGATTTATTTGCAGCCCTTTCTTAATTGAGCAATTTCTAGAGCCCCTCCCCGTGGGCTATGGGAGCTAGAATGGACAGGACCAGGCTTGGGGTATCTTGGGACAGTGAGGGTACAGCCCAGTTACCAGCCCAGGACGGGGCCAGTTCTGAGGCTGTCTAGGGTACCCACCTGTGGCTCAGCCCATCTGCAGGGGGGGAAAAAAATCACTCCCTGAGAACCCCAGAGACCCAGAGAAAGTGCAAGCTCAGCAGACACCTGCCAGGGTGGGCCCTCGAGTTCCCGTCCAGGGAAAGCTGATACTACAGTGTCAGCTCCCTCTGCCCCTCTGTCAGGTCCCAGGAGGAAGAGGTTTCTGGCTAAGCTCAGAGGTCTGCACAAATGGTGGATTGGGTTTCAGACGGGTTATTAATATGCCCATAGTCACCTCAAGAGTCCACTTGACTGTGGCCGTGGAATGAGTCCTAATGCATCAGCCCCAGGTGGTGGAGGGGCAGGTGGGAGGAAGGGTGGGGAGAGGCAAGTGCAGGGGCCCTGACGTTCGTGCTCTCCACGGCACCTGCACACCTGCTTCCCCTGAGAATGCAGGGTGAAGAGCCCACCTTTCCCCCCTCACCTGCTCCACGGCTCCAGCAGGCTGGCCTGCTTCCTGCCTCTGCTTCACCCACTCTTGCCCCTCCTCACCATGGGGTTCCTGTTTCTGGGACAGACACCATTCACCAAGTTGCAATGCCTGTCTCTCCCCCTCCTCCAGAAAGCCTTCCCCAACCAGGATTTTCACAAGCAACACTCACAGCGCCTAAAAGTCCAACCATGACATGTGCGAGCTGGCCTCTCTCTAGCTTGCTGAGTACTTACTCTGTGTCCAATGGCACTGTTTTACGTGCGTTATTTCCTTTAATTAAAAAGGGAAGCAATTATCACTAGCCCCATTTTACAGATGCAGAAACTTCTCGAAAGCACAGAGAGATTATGTAACTTGCTCACAGTCACAAAGCTGTAAGGGACAGCTGGGTTTTGAATCTACCCATGGTCTACCCGTGCTCCTATCTTTGAGATGTCCCCTTCCGTAGGGGAGGCAGCACCTGCAACAGCTCGGTGGCCCTCGGGAGGATTCTGGGAAAGATTCACCGGGAAGGAATGGATGAGCGGGCCTCTCTTGTTGCCAAGGTGAGTCCCCTTCTTAGGGGCCTGGGTCGCACGCGGCTTTCCTTGCACCTCCACTGCGTGTGGCCCTGGAGCCCTGCAGACTGGGCGCTCGGCACACAACCGCTAAGGCACACAACTGCAGAGTGAGCCCCAAGTGGCACAGCCTCCCTGATACCCCACAACCAGCACCCCTTGGAGGGGCTGAGAAGAGTCAAACAGCGTGGTCAGCAAGGGCTCCTTCACTCCTGACCCTTCACTTTAAAGCTGACTTTGCTGCAGGGACCAAAGAAACCCTGAACTCCAGGTCCCAGGCCTGCTTCACTAAAACTAAGCTTCTTTTGGGGGAAGAAAGAGGAAGCAAAGGGCCGACCGTTTCCTCTTTAGGGAGACTGACTGGAGACTTGACCAACTCCTAGGCCAGACCAAAAAGGGCATTTTCCCCTCAGATCTAGGACCACGCCAGTTTCAAGCCTGTCAGAATCTCAGCCGAGGGGTGGGGACCCAGGTCAGCCGAGGGGCGGGGACCCAGGTCCCCTGCTGGGACAGCTGGAGAGGGGCGACCTCAGGGGCAATCTCCATCACGAGCAGTCTTCAATGCAGGACAGCCCGAGAAGGTGAGGGGACAGCTGATCGTGCACAGCGGCCTCCGGGAAGAGCCCGAGAAACCTCAGCATCGCTCCTCCAGCATGCTGCCACCCCCCTCTGTTCAGCCTTCAACAAGGAGCTCCGGGTTACCACGGAGATATGAGAGCAAAGTGACTGAGAGGGGTGCAGAGACACAACGCCTGGTGGGAGAGAAGAAGGTCCTGAAACCAGCTGCCTGCCACAGGAGCCCAGAGCAGCTGGCCTGGGGCAACATTTGAGCCTTATGCCCCTGCCAGAGGCAGCGGGGCTCATCCCTAAGGTACCTCTGGCCTCGGAAGGCGGGGCCCACTAGCTTCCGGACACTTCCTTGCCGAGATCTGTGCCAGCCTCATCTGAGCAAGAGCCTGGCTGACTGCACACACCTGTCCCAGGACCTCCTCCCTGAGGGAGCTGCGAAGATGATGCTCTGTCCGTCCCCGCTATTGTATGGTGGGTGTGTGACCTTCACAAAGCAGCAGCCGGCCACGCCCCCCTCTCCCACCAGCATTCACGGCCAAGACCTCAGCTCAAGGGTCTCCAGTGGCTAGAAACGAACCCCCTGGGAGCAATCCAATTCCTTCCTGCTCCCCTGCCATTCAGAGAGGAGAGAGCGAAGGCGGTGTGTGCACTCCAGGCACACAATACCCTGGCCTCTCACGAAACAAAGAGACTCCCAACTTCTCCCTCCAGCTGGGGCTGGCGCCCTCCCGCTCCAAGGCACTGCCATCCAGACCATCTGTCACTCTCTGATTGCCCCTGCTGACCCCTCTCCAACCCCAGGGTGGCCACCCCTGCAGGCCCAGCCTTGTCACTTTCTCTCCGTAACAGCCTCTCCAGGAAGTCGCCCCCAGCCTCTGAAGCTGAGCCACCAACTCCCCACAGATCCTCGGGGGTACCTGGACCCTTCTAGCCTGGTCCTCCCATTTCCAAGCCACCCTGCCCCGAGCGGCCCCCAGACTCCAACTCCAGGCTGGAAGCTGGCCGGCACGGGGTTAACATAGGTCCAGCCACGTGTCCCCCCTCCCCGCCCTGCTGCCCCCCAAACCTTGATGGCCACATTTCAGCCCACTCCAGCCAGCCCCCAGAGGTGGGAAGACACACCACCTCTCGGGAGAGGGGGCCTGGGTTACCATAGGTGCAGTTACAGCAGAAGCGAACGATGAGGAGAATTTCCATGGCAGCCTCCGTCCCCGCGGCAGGAGCGGGCGGCCATCGCTCCCGGCTCCCCAGCTCCCATCAGCGGCCCGGCCACTCAGCCACCTTCCCGGCTGCTGCCGCACAGCCTCCAGAATCAAGCAGCCGCTTCTGGTGCTCTTCTAGCAAGGGGGAGGGGAGGGGAGGGGAGGGAGGGGAGGGAGGGGAGGGAGGGGAGGGCTGCGTGCGTGGAGGGGGGAGGGGGGAGTGAGCCGCCTGCCGGCATCCTAGGGAGGAGCACGTTTGTAGCTGGCCAGCTGCCTGGGGACAGAGGCTGGATGCCTCGCATGCACACACTCACACACACACACACGCACGCACGCACGCACACGCACACACACAAGCAGGGCACCACAGTCCACAAAGCCAGACAAAGGAAGGTGACTGTTATCCAAGCCATTCCCCAAAGTACCTTCCATAGTGACTGACGTGTGGCTGTCCTTGGAGTCCTTGGGACCTTTCACTTTCAGTTCCTGCCAAACAGAGAAGAGGAATCACTACCTGGCCTGTCCCCTGAGCCTCCCCATCCCCCATCGTGAGCAACGCAGGAAGAAGGGCTCTGAAACCCAGGGGTGCAAATAGGAGAAGAGACACAAAGACTAACACGTGCAGGCCTCCCTCTGCCTCTCCGCTTATGAGCCCCTGGGCCACACCCATCATCTCCTGGAGCCTCGGGGGTCCCCTGAAGCCTCTCCCCAGCAGCTCAGAGGGCCTTCCAGAGGAGGCCCACACCCTCCTCCATCCCGCAGCAGCGGCCACTACTTGGAGGTCTGTACACGCCAGCCCAGGGCCAACAGGCTTTTAGTGGACAAGCTACCAGGGCACCAGCTGCTCCTTGGGCGTGAGCAGCCCTTGAGATAGGAGCGAAGGGCCCCACACACCTGCACAGGGGGAAGCAGGGAGGGGCAGGCAGTCCGAGCGTACTGAAAGGGACTCACCCAGCCACCGGCCCCACCCGCACTCCCCACCCACCATGTCTGGGCTGGGCGTCAGAGAGGAAACTTCAAGGAAGGAAGAGGCAACACCCCTCCTGGATCCCGTGCAAAGTGACAGGGAGTGAGTGCCGGAAACAGACCCCAGGGATAGCTTATCTGATCCTAACCTCTTTCACCTGCCTTTAGAGTCAGAGGTTCCAGCTCTAGCCCTTGCCACTGGACCAGTGTGGCCTGTAATTGGAGCTGTAATGCAATCCCCACTTGGAAGACTGAGTGCATGGTTGGCGGGCAGCGGCGGGGGGGGGGGCGGGGGTGTGTGTGTTCCCAGGGGACGTGTCAGCAGGAAGGTGGGGACGAGGTGAGGCCAAGGTCAGGTACCAGGTGATGTTGCCTGCTCTGCCTGGGAGGCAATGCCCAGGCAGCGGGGGCTCCACACTTCCTACTCCTGCCTCAAGCTGTTTCTAGACAGAGAAAACCCCCAGGGACTGAGCCTGGGGTGTGGGGCTGGGGAAAAGGGAGGTTACTCAGCTTCTCAAGCCTGTGTCTGGATCCCCAGGTTTAGGGAATTTTTCTCCATGTCCCCTTCCAGGGCAGCCTAGAGGTATGAAATCGCTCTGCTGCAGAGGAGGAGGGGCCTAATTGCAGTAATTAAGCGGCAGCACCAGTGGGAAGTGACAGCGTCTGCGCATGAGTCAGGGTGAGGAACCACTGGCAGCAGGCCACGGGCCTCGCTCTGCCCTTGGGGCCAGCTGGCTATGAGAGGGGCTTGGGGAAGAGCGCAGGGGTTTCTGCCAACCATGGAGAACACGCAGTCAGCCCAGGCTAAGAGGAGAACCCCCTGACCACTCTCTGGACCACACATGACCCGGGCACCCGGGCAGCCTTGGCAGGGTCACTCTGAACACAGATGGGAAACCCAGTTTGTTCCCAGGGAGGGCGGGGAGCCGTGAGAGGAACACCCTTTCTCCAGCCTCATTGCTCCACTTAGAGGGACCTTCCCACCCCTCACTCCACTCCGTCCTCCCAGGCAGAGGGTGACTCACCTGACCCCTGGGTTTGGGAGAAGAAACAGAGCTCAGCCCTCCTCTCTCTGCCCCCAATAGATGTGTTTGAACGTGGAGGGGAAGTGTTAGCAAATCCAGTGTGGCTACAGATCCATGTCCACATTTTTCCAATCCGGCTTTGACTAGTAATCAAGCTGACATTTTCATCTCCATCTGCCCTACTCTTGTACTGCCTCCCAGCTGATTCCAAACTTGGGTATAACCCTTATAACCCCAGTAGTTTCTCGAAAACTACCCTGCACCTCACCAACTTTTCCAGCAACAGAGCCGAGAGAGAAAGCAAAGGATTCAGAGGGGGCCTATAAGGCAGGACTTCCAAAACTGCAGAAGGAGCTCCCTTTCCTTGGAACCAGAGGTTCTCCTGCCCCAAGCTTGGAGCTGGGTGTTGTGACTGTAAAGCCAGTGGCCTGGTTGGGAGGGGTGGGGGGTGGGGGGTATCCCTGAGATCTTTTTGGCTCAAGGGGTGAGCTGGGCTGTGCTCCTGAGGAATCCTAGAGCCCTTCCCTGCCACTTCCTGGATAGAAGTGTCGGCGGCGGCAGACAATGCCACATCTTTGCCCTGTGGAGGAGGGTGGTGGGAGAGCTGGGCTGCAGCCGCAGGGACAGGCATATTCCCAGCCAGACGGTCTAGGGCTTCTTATCCACATGGCCTTTGTCCGCTCTCTGTGGGACTGCAAGGATCTTAAAAGATCACCTAGTCCAGACTCCCTCAAATCTTCCCGATTATAAAAATCACCTGGGGAAGTTTGTTAAAAATACAGACTCCTGGGCCCCACCCCAAACCTTCTGAATTGAAGCTCCAGGGAAGGTGCCTGAAGATCTGCATTTTAAACAGTGCCCCTGGTGGTTCTTGTCAAGCAGGCTTGGGATGAGCTGGATCAATCCAGACACCTCATTCTATAGCAGAGGGAATAAGCCCAAGAGAAGGGAAGTGACTTGCTTAAGGTCACCACAGTGTGGGAGAATGCTGCCTTTTTAATTTCCTTTTTTGCTTCCCCTGTTCTAATGCAGAATAACCTAAAAGAGAATAACAAAATCATACATAAAGCGATATTCTTATGTTAAGAGGGAAAATGTCGCGGGCAAGAAAGCAAATCAGGCTAAGTGTTACTCATCCGGGGAACCATTTTCCTCACTGGCAAGCAGGGGAGGAGAGGCCCTAAGGCTAGAAGGCTCTGAGCAGCCCCCCAAACCCTGAGTCGTAGGGGTGGCTGTGCAGGGAGCTGCCCACCTCGGAGATCTTCTGGAATTGGTTGTTGGACTGGCTGCACTTCTCAGCTGTCTCCAGAGCGACTTTATAGTTATCCACAAACGCTTTGTACACGCCAAGCTGGCTGGCCTGCAGGGAGAAGAGAGAGAAGGGCAGGAGAGGGATGGGGAGAGAGGATTAATGAATGGATGAAAGCATAACCAGAGCACCTGGAGCTCCCTTAGCACTCAGAACCTCTAACTCAGTCCGAGTGGCTAGCTGGGAGCAGAAGGAAAAGGCAGGGTGAACATACTACAGTATCCCTTTGAACTTGGTAGTTTCCATGGAAACTGGCTCAGCCAATAAGGTTAACAAGGAGGTATTGGGGGTTGGGGGGAGCAGGGCACGGCCTTTGTTGGCATGCCAAAACTCAGTTCATTGCAGCATTTGGCTTTATTTAGCATCATCAAAGTCTCGCACGGTTTGAAGCCCCTTAATGCCTCACGCATCTTTCACATCCTGGAATTAGCTGAAGCAGGGGGAGACAGGGAGAGGGGTGGGCACATGTGGCCTGCTCAGTGCCCCACTCCCCATGCTCAGTGTGGGGAACTGTATTTAAAGGCACAGTCCCCACTTCCCTTGGCCTCCCTCGAGGTCCTTGTCCCCACCTCCTCAGCCTTCAAGGAGCCAGAGGTCCTTCCTCTCTACACATTTGCATGTCGCTTTGAACCTAACACAAAGCTTTCCACAGCTTCAGACCACACAGAGCCTCGCCGCCTCCTTGGGGAGGCAGAACAGATGCCATCAGCCCTTTCTGCAAAAGGGGAAACCAAGGCTCGTTAATTCAATTCCGCAAATATTTATGGAAAGCCTTCTCTGTGCTCTGCATGTACATTTCCTCTTACCACAGCAAAGGGTGGAAATTCTAATGAAACCACAATGAGATACTACTTCATACCCATCAACCTGGTCAAAATTTAAAAGTCTAATGATATTAAGGGTTGGAAAGAATGTAGGAAAATAGGAACTTTCCCAGACTGCTTGCGGGGGGTGTAAGTTAGTATAATTATTTGGAGAGTAATTTGTCAATAACTAATAAAGTTGAAAATATGCACAGCTTAGCCTACTACTTAGCAAATCCTCTTCTACAAACAGACCCCAGGGCTATGCTGTCCCGTACAGGAGCTGCTTGCTGCACGTGGATATTGAGCGCCTAAAATGTGACTAGTCCAAACTGAGATGTGCTGAGTGTAAAATACACTCTGGGTTTCAAAGGCTTAGTATGAGAAAGAGAATGTAAATGATCTCATTAATTTCTTAATCTTGTTTACATGTTGAAATGATAATATTTTGACTCTATTGGGCTAAATAAAATATATTCTTCACATTAGTTTCACCTGTTTATTTTTACTCAATGTGACCACTAGAAAAGTTTAAGTTATATACGTGGCTCGCACTATATTTCTACTGGAAAGTACTGCTCTAGAGAAACTTGAATACGTGTGTGCACAAGGAAATGTGAACAAGGGTATTTACCTGCCTCACTCTTTCTTTTGTGAAAAGACTGGAAACAAATGCTCACAAGGGGAACCCATACACACACAATGTGTAGAGGAACCCATACACACAGTGCAGTTAAAATGGATGAACTAGATCTTTGTGTAGCAACGCTGACAAGTTTCAAAATGAATGCCGATTGAATTGCAAAATATATGATACATATAGACACACTTATATACACTTTAAAAGTACATGCAATGCCATAAAAGGATATATATGCATAGCGAAAACACGAACTGCAGCCTAGAAGGCTACACACCAAATTCATGCCAGTAGCTGCTTCTAGGTTGAGAGGAAGGGCAAGAGGAAAGGGAGAGACAGAGAGACTTCATTCTCATCTGTAATGCTTTATTTTCTTGATTGAAAAGTCTTTCCATGTATCTTCAGAGCTTAACATCTGTTAATTCTGGGAGGTGACTGCACCATTGTTTGCTACATTATTCTCTAGATTTTCTGGTTAAAATTTTTTCCAATGAAGTAGCAAGGACGTTCTACGCACCAAGGTACGAGGGGGGAAGTGGGCTGCCCCTGAGCCCTGCCCCGGATCGACTCTGCTTTCTGCAGAATCCCTGTGCTCCTCAAGGGTCCGAAGAGGTGGGTGGGGGACCTGGAGCCACACAGGGCAGAGACAGAACTCGAGGAAGCTGGCAGGTGGGGCACAGGAAAGCCAGAGGGGAAAGTGAGAGCTGGGATGCTTGTGAAGAAGCCAGGGCCAGAGCCATGCAGGTCTCAGCCCCAGATGGGCCAGACTTTTCAGAAAGGAAAATCCCAGATGGGGAGGGGCGGGAAGGGATGGAGTTCGTTTCCTCTTCCAGAGGGAGTCCTGGCCCATTGGTGTCCCGAGCTACAGGGGATGTGCTAGCCAGTCACTTCCTAAACCAAAGTATCATTGCTATTCTTCTAAGTATGCACATTCCTTGTCCCCCTTCCCACAGAAGGATAAAGGCTGGGTGCTCAGGGTGGAACGCTACCCTCCTATCCCACTACAGAAGGGAGTAGCCAGAGGTGAGCCAGAAGCAGGAGCCACCTGGGCAGAAGGCCTGTGTGCAGGGGTCACCGGCCATCCCAGGCACTGCCATCTCCATGGAGCACCTTAGTCTGCAGAGTCCAAGGCCTGGCCTGCCAGGGCCATTAACTGGGAAGTGGAGGTTGCTTGGAAACAGCAGCTTGGCACTGGGGTGATCCCATAAAACAAATAACGGAGATGCTAATTCCCTTCTCTCAGTAATGGATAATCAAATACTCGGAGACCAGCTGAAAATAAACTGTCTCCAGATGCCTGGCCTGCCCGGCCTCCTCCCAAGCCTGTAGCCCCAGGGGCTTCAGACATCAGTTCATGATGCAGGGGGAGGGAAGAGGGGGGTAGCAAATTCATAGCCAGGCCAGTGAAGCTCAGACCAGAATGGGGAAGCCTGGTGACAGCAGGGTCCAAGTGACAAAGATAAACTGGGACAGCCTTTCCACTCTGCTCCAGGCCCCCCCCACCCCGCCCACCGGGGTTTGCTCTCTTCTGCCCTCCTGAGCGCTGAGGAGAGGCTGCCCACCAAGCCAATCAGCTCAGGCTCCTGGACCAGGCGGGAAGTGATTGGGCGCTCATCATCCCTGAACTGGGGCCAGCACTCTGGGGCTACCAGAACCAGAAGTGTGGAGTTCCCTGGCAACAACGCCTTTCAGGGGTGCTTCTTCCTAATAATAATAATAATAGCAGTAATAATAGTAATAACAGTAATGATAATGGCTAACTCCTGGGTATTTACTCATTTACTATATTCCAAGTCCTGTTCCAAGAACTTTTCAGGTATTAACTCACTCAGTCCTCACAACAATCCAATAAACGAAATACCATTATTATCCCCGTTTTGTTTTTATTTTTCTTTTATTATCCCCGTTTTTACAGATGAGGAAGCTGAGCCACAAGTTGGGTAAGTTGCCCAGTGTCACAAGTTTAACCTGTGGCAGAACCCGGATTCAAACCCAGCTGCGACCTGGCTCTAGAAACTGTGCTCATCTCTGTAACACTGCTGTCCCTCAGGACACAGACCTCAGGTCCTGTGATGTCTCCTCAATGCCTTTCCAACTTCTGCCTGGTCCCAGGGGTCAAGGACACGGTGCACTCATTCACCCGTTCCTTCACTCACTCACTCATTCATGTACTGATCACTGGGCTGGTTCTGGGGGCCCAAACTGAAGAAAATACAGTCTGTCCTCCTGGAGCTTATGGTTCTGGGGAGTTGGGCAGTTTAGTGTTCACGGAGCGGGTAAGCATAGGGGCTGCATTTCAGAGGCTGTGGAAGGCTTCTCCACGGAGGTCATTTCTAAATTGGAAACTGACCAGAGAAGCCAGATAAGACAGAAAAGGACATTTCAGGCTAGAGCGCAAGTACAGAGAGGTCAAGCGCGCCTGCAGTGTGAACTGAGACCAGAAGGTTCAGTGTCGGGGGCGCAGAGGGGGGGGGGGCTGAGGCCAGCAGCAGACGGTCTCATAAGCCACTCCTCGGAGCCTGGCCTTTATCCAAATCCCTGAGCAGGGGGGACTTGAGGTCCGGTCAGGAGTTTAGAAAACGCTCTCCTGCTTTTAGGTAGAGGCCAGAGGCTGCCTGGGAGGCAGGTCTGGGGCAGAAGCCACTCATGAGGCCACAGCAGTGGTCCAGGTGAGGGCGCCAGAGGGCTGGAGAGAAGCAGGTGGCTGTGAGCTTTAAAGAAGTGGACCCCATGGGATGCAGGGAGGTGTTAGGGGGTGGGGGAGGGGAGGTGCCAAGGATGAGCCCCCAGGGAGTCATGGATGGACGGGGGTTGGGACATGGCCGCACCCACTGAGACAGAGGCAGGGAAAAGAGCAAAGAACTTCAGAGCCAATGAGTTCAGTTTTGAGCATGCTGAGCTTGTGGCCTAGGAGCATCCAAGCAAGAGTCTTCTCCATGCAAGAAAAGCAGAGCCCTGTCCATTCAACGGGTCCCACCACTGCAGGGGAGGAAACGGAGAAGCACTGCTCCCTGCCCGCCCCCCCACACTCATACCCAGAGGATAGGGCCACAGACTCCTGAGCTCCATCCCGCCTGCTGGACTGGCAGAGGTTGTGTGGCGGAGAGCCGGTGGGGGCCCTGTGGGTGTGACTGGGGGTCCTCGGGGGACGCGGCCAGAGACGGACACCGAGCTAGAGGAGAGGGTCGTTCCCGACCAGGGCCGCATGCTACTTCCACCTCCTCTGTCCCTCTCCCTGCCCTGCGGGTGGGCTGGGCTCTTAGTGCTTCCTGCTCCAGGGTCCTCAGGAGAGGATCGTTGGCTGACATGGTCTCCCTCCCGACTCTTCACTTCAGAGGCAGCGCGGAAGTGAGGCGAGTGTCTGAAGTCTCAGGTGAGCAGTCCCTGCCCGTCCACCTGGCACTTGCCCCTCTGCCGGCTGAGGTACAGGGCCCTGCAGCCCAGCAGGGGAGCCTTCGGTCCAGCCCTGGAGCCCCCAGGTGAGAGAAACAGTGCCCTGCCAAGGGCACCTACCCACGTGGCCTGTCCCTGGCAGCCCTAGAAGCAGTCTAGGGCTTCACTGGGGGAGGCCGGGAGTCGGGGCAGCAGGCCCAGGTTCCCCATAAGGCAGAAGCCCAGGCTTTCCTCCAGGACTCAGAAATGACTCAGGCCTTCAAGGAGGCCAGGAGGTCTGGGGCTGACCAGTCCTCTCTCAACACCGGCAACTCCACTGAGGTCCCGGGTAAGGGCCCTCCAATCAACGGGAGACTCACCAGCTTCTGGAAGAGGTGGCCCATGGTGACCTGGCTGTCCCACTGCTGCACCTTGGGGCAGAGGTTGTCATAGAACTCCTTGTGGATCTCGTAAATGTCCTGGATCTTGTAGAAGATGGTCTCGATCTGTTGGATGGTGAGCACGGGTTGGGAGGTGGTGGCAGTGGCCTTCAGGGGTTTCATGGGCTGGGCGAGAAGAGGAAGAAAGAGCAGAGGTGAGAGGCAAATCAACCGGAGGGTCAGCAGGCCCAGGGCCCAGATTAGGCCCTCCTGCTGCTCGAGTTCTGCCCAGATAAGGCCACTGAGGCCAGGGTACCTGAAGCGTGGTTTGAATGGAGCAGCTGCTGTCACAGGCCCCAGCAAGCCACCCATTACTGTAAGAAGAGGGAGCCTGGTCCAGCAGTCCCATCAGGTCCGAGGGGTGGTGCCAGGACACATTTCTCCCGCCCTGTGTCCCCTGAGGGACCTCTGGTTCTCAGCCTGTACTGGGTTTGCTTGATGGTTTAACAGGGTCCATAGCTTTCTTCCACAATGGCCTCATGCTCTGAGTCACAAACTCCCTTGTCATGCTTCAGTGGGAAGGAGGGTTTGACTGGGAACTCAACCCCTTAGCTATTTCCTTCCAAGAAACAGAACATGATTCTAGGACTTGGGGAATAGAGTTTCTAAGGGACCCAAACCAATCTCAGTTGCACTGATATCTTAAGTTCCCATCACTTAGTATAGAGAGAGTGAGCGTGGCACGCATGCCACCGCACTACCTCCTGTACCCATGGCAGACGTTGCTAAGCAATCACAATGACCTTCCTCACTGAGCCTTGTCGTAGCCTCAGACTCTTTCTCAATGCCGAGGTTGACATGCAAGATGACACGCAATATCCCTATCTGTCATCTCTGCTTATCTACACCAAGGTGCTCCAAGGCTTGCTGGTGGAGAGGGTGAGGTGACAGACGGAAGCTCAGGACCATTCCCAACACTTGCTGGGAGCTGAAGTTATCACCTTAAAGCCCAACATGAGGGGAAAATGAGGCTTGGATACATTTTCTTCAGTGGGATTTCTGTATTTTCTAAATCACCTCCAGTGAGTAAATATTAATTTTATAATCAGGAAAAAAAGCTATTAAAATTAATCATTGAAACAAACAATCAATGATACTGAAGGATAAAGAGCTCCTCCATGGTTGACCTTCCTTCAGCCCTAAAGCCCCCAAAGATGCCCAGACTGCACACCAAAGGCCCTTCAGGGGAGAGGGTCTGGGAACCTGCCCCATAGAGAAGGCATGGGGGTGGGGAGGTGGGGGGGGAGGGGTACGTTTACTTGAGAGAGAGAAGCCTGAGTCAGACATGGTTGGTGTTCTTCATCTACTGTGAAGATAAAGGGCTGTGTGGAAAGAGGCCTTTGACTTAGTTTGGGTCATTCTGGAGACCCAGAGGGCAGAAAGGAGAAGTTGCAGGTGCAGGTATGGGCTCACTAGAGCCGCCTCCCACTACCTCACAGGATTAGGTAGCGAGCTTTCGACAAGGCAAGCATTCTAGCAGAGAATGGGTGACTCAGTGCTGGACTGCAGGGAACACCTCCACTGAGGGAGGCTGAAGTTACTGCTGGCTCACCCTGAGAGAAGACCCCCAAGCTCGAGCCAGCCACGGCTGCCGGATGTCCAGCCAGGCTTCACTCTATCCTCCCATCTGTCTGTCCACAAGGGGAAGTCCCATCTACTTAAAGACCCAGACAATGCTCTGACTTCTAGCTCCCCTGTCCTCCCAGCTCTAAAAAATCCAGACGTGATGATGAAAGCAGGAAAAAGCAGAAGTCCTCCTCTGACCCTCTCAGTGCTGGAACCAATGAGGCGTTAACGTCCAGCCCTTTGCTAGGAAAGCAGGCTGGGGTTCGACCTGGTGCAGGCCAGGCAGTGTGGGCCAGAGTCCCCATTCTGCCGCTTAACAGCTGTGGGCAAGTCACTTAGCATCTCTGGGCCTCAGCAGCCTTGTTTGTGAAACCGGGATAATATTACCTTCTCAAGAACACTGATGGGAAGATCAAAAGCCATCATTTATCTAAAATATTGAGTATGTGCCTGGCACACAGAAGGCAATCAGTAAGTGTTAGCTGCTGCTGTTGTAACCATTTACCCCGCAAATAATGGACCAAGTGTCCACGTAAGGCCAGACCAGGGGGTGTAGGGGGTATTCAGTGATTCACTAACCACTGCCCCCATGGAGCCTCCCATCTAGTAGGGGAGACAAACAAAACACGAGGAAACAATCAAACACAAAATCACACATAAGTGCAATGAAGGAAATAAGGGGATGTCCTGCTGAAGGACAAGAAGGAAACACTGACCTGAAATGGAAGCGTGGGGGCAAAGGGGACAGTATTTCAGGCAGAGCTCCTCAACGCCTGGTCCCAAGGTGGGAAATAGCTTGGGCACAGAGAGGAGCTAGAAGCAAGCCAGTGAGCCTGTGTGCTGCGAGCAAGGGGGTTGGCGAGCAGGGCCCTGAAGGAGGGCTGGAGGGGTGAGCAGAGGCCGGATCACACAGGGGGAAGGAATGTGGCTTTTAAGCCCATGTAATGACCTGGCTTTCCCCGGAGGGATTGAAACAGGGGAGTGACGGGGTCCAATTTTCCCTTCAGGAGATTATTTTTATGACTCATGCTCCTTGCTCCGGACAATGTTATAATCTATTTGGGTAAACTGGACCAACACAAATGAAACATTTTCGTGGACAAAGCAAGATACACTTATTACTCGACTTGGACTGTCAAATACCAACCAACTGGCACAGCTCGGAGAGGGCTTCACAGAGGAGGTGATGGGAAAGGGCCTCAGAGGGAATATCAGAGTAAGTGGAGGGTTGGGGCCTGGGGAAGCATGGCAGTCAGGGACACAGAGGGAACCGGGGCCAGGAGAATAAGAATGTTTTCCCCACCCCAGGTGGGCAGCGACATTGAGCTCATGGCTCCCGATGTTCCGTGAAGGATACAGAGCTGGCCCTTGGGATCAGTCAGAGTTTACCCTTTTTACCTCTATCTACCCAGGTCCAGAGGAAGGTCCAAGTCACCGCGGAGTCCCTGTCCCAGCCGGGGTACAATCCCCACCCGGGGGGAATAAAGGAAATAGGAGAGAACAGTCCTGGGGAAGAAGGGGGGGGGGTCAGGATTTCTCAGAAGCTGCCTATGCAGGGACAAGACACAACTGCTCTGCTTCCTCCTGAAGTCCCACTCTGTCTGCAAAAGGGGAAGCGCCGGTGCTCACCAGGGGCAGGTCACACAGACAGGGACTGCGCTTGGGGCATCAGGCCGTTGGTTCTCAGGACAAGGTTGGGGGGGCCTTTGGGGGAAGGGAAAGTGCTGGATGCCTGAGACCCTGGGAGGCAGTTATTTTTATCTGGTGAAGGCCTGAAAATAGGCCTCGGGCAGGGAGGGCAGCAGAAAGGCACAGGCAGCCCTGCTCTCCTGACAGAGCACACCTGCTACCCCTCCCTCTTCCCAGAATCCTGCAGCAGAGGACGGGGTGCCAGTTCCCCATTTTATTAGAGTTAACTCTGGCTCTGGGTGTCCCATGAAGTGCTCCTCAGGAAGGCGGGCCAGGCGGGTTCGAACTCCTTTCATGACTTCACACTGTCATTTGTCTCTTCTGTCCCCCAGCAAGTTGCCTTTTGACTTTCGAAACCAGGGAAAGAAATCGGCCCACTTCCTCTACCTCCTATCCCAAGAGGCCTGGAGGCTGCCACATGTACTTTTGTTAACTATCACCACAGGCTGGGGGCGGGGGTGGAGGGGTCGGGGGAGCGTCCTGAACCTATCTTACAGATAAGGAGCAAAGCAAACTCCAGAAGGAGAGTCGAAGAGAGGAGGGCCAGGTGGGACCCAGGGCTGGAAGGTGCTAAGGCAAAGGCAGGCCAGAGGGAGCACCCAGCTCACCTGCAGCCTGCAGAGACTTGCAGAATTACATGCATTTGGTCTGCCCCCTTCCTCCACTCCCCACCTCAGCCCCAGCTCCCAGATCCTCTTCCCTTGTCATCTGAGCCCATCAGGAACCTGGAGGGTTCTGGAAGGTTACCAAACCTTGCCCAGCCAGCAACCCAGGTGGCGGGAACAGAGCCTCCTGTGTGGCCTCCCCGTCTGCGTCTGTGTGTCCACAGTCCAGGCTACACACGCCCAGCTGTTTGCGTATCAGGAAGTGTGAAACTGAGAACAAACACTCAGGAGAAGAGCTGCGGGAATGGGGGTAGGGTGGCAAGAAGAGCTGGGCGTGGGAGGCGGAGGGAGCTAGGGAAGACAGGTTTTCTTCTCTGAACGCCTTTGTCAGATCACCCCAAAGAGAAAAGGGCTTAGCTCCTGGGTAGCTGGGAAGGGCCCCCAGCTCCAGGAGAGAGAGGAGGGCTTGATTCCTCATCTCTGAGGCTTATCATCTGAGACTGTGGCCGTGGAGGGTCCTGCCCCCTCTTCCGGAGGGGCCTCCAGGTGCAGACCAGGCTTCCTGGCTCGTCCCTCCCTAGCTCTTGCCTCTGCTCCAGAAAGAACCAAGCCAGGATGAACAAGCTGGGGTGAAGAGGAGGGACCTACCCTGGGTCACACCCCAGGACTGGGAGCCTCAGCCTCACAGTTTTTACCTTGAGAGCGTGAGCTGTTAGAAAGGCAGGCAGGTAGGGAGTGTTTTGGCCCCTAAATCTGTTATCTTTACCCAGACAAATGGGACTCAAATTAGGCCCAGTGACAGATAAGAACCGAGCTGTATTCTAAGAGGGGCATGCTTCTGATGGGAACATGTACCTCCCCTTCCTTCAGGGAACTGATGGGTTGATAGAAACAAACAAGCTCTAACCTGCGCTCTTTCCCAGAACAGGAGAAAAAATTAGAATCCACTCACACTCAGGCTCTAAGAGCTTCCCCTGCAAACTCACTTACCCGTCACAACAGCCCCATGAAGAGAGTACTAATATTAGTACATCCAGTTTGCTGGTGGACAAAATGAGGCACAAAGGTTCATTAATCTGCTGAAGGTCTACAGCTAGTAAGCAGTCGAGCAGGGATTCAAAGCCAGGCAGTCTGGTTCCTCTGAACTTCTTTCAAATATGCATCCTTTAAGTAATGACAACTATGCCCCTGTGTCTGGGCACAGCAATTCATAGTTTATAAGGTGTATTTCGTCTGTCTGTCCTCCTTCCTTCGGATAATATCTCAGTGTCTAAGTACCTGGCACTGTACTAGGTCCCCAAAAGGATCACCTGATTTTCTCAACCCCATGAAGGAGAGGGAGAAGGTAATGGCCTTGTTTTCATCTTCAGATGAGGAAACTGAGGCTCAAGAAGGTTACCCATGGCTTGCCCAAAGCCAGTTTTTTGTTTTTTTTTTAATTACTTACTTACTTACGTACGTATTTATTTATTTATTTAGTGGCTGCGCCGCGCAGCATGTGGGATCATAGTTTCCCAACCAGGGATTGAACCCCTGTTCCTTGCATTGGAAGTGCGAAGTCTTGGCCGCTGGACCGCCTGGGAAGTCCCACCAGTGGTTTTTAAAACCGACAACGCATGTAAGAAAGCATGTGGCCCAGTACGTACATACACATATACACATATCCACACAAGCCAAAAGTTGCATGAAATAGTACTTATTCTTACCACATGGGATGCATGCCGACATTTTCCTTCTCATTTGTTTTAAAATGCTGGTTCACCCCACTACACTGATTACATTACCCACTAATGGTTAAGTTGCACAGTTTGAAAGACAGGGGCCATAAGTCTACTATTAATGGCAGCGTCAAGTCTTGCCCTAGCTCTGGCCCCAGACCCGAGTCCTTATGGACCTGCCAAACTGTTCCTCCCTTGAAAAAATGACTGTGCAGACCAACAAACTCCCAGCGAGATCGACCACCAACTCATCCCCGTGTGTTACAAAGCAGTTACACATCTCAATAGTTACTCCTGGGGTAATAAATGCCAAGTCCCCTGGGACACCGGGTGCCAATACCTCATATATCGCAGCAAGTACATAGATGCGTATCTTACAATTCTTGTAAGAATGACTATCTACTGATTTACACCTACCTTTCTTATCCCTCCTTTTTCTGATATCAGCTGATGTCTCAGACTGCGCAACACCCAAGGAAGAGAACTTCACATGCCACAATCACTCTGCATAGTAAGTATCCAGACGCATCTAATATGCACCTTCTTCAGAGACAAAAACATCTTATATCTGTGTGGTTACTTTTACCTTTTGAAAACATTGTATTATTCCCCTCTCAGTCCGATTCTCACAACAACGCCTCCGTCTTGGAGAGGAAACTAAGGCACATTCACAGAGGGCGGCAGCCTGTCTAATGCCTCAGAGCTTCTCAGAACCACACAGACAGCCCTTCAACACATTTCCGGCCAGAGGGCCTCAGGATGGGGCGAGCGGTTAACTACTCCAGGGAGAAGGAAGGAACGGGACTAGGGATGACAAAGAGGTCTCCACGTGATTGACTTGTTGAGATTTGCCCAGAGTACCAGCCGGAGTCGGAGGCTAAGACCCCACCTGGATAGAGAACTGTGATCCATTAGTAATGCCTGCGCTACAGTCAGGGATGATGGAGTGTCTGCCACCCCCAACCAGGTGGTGCTTCTTCTTCTACCTTTCCCACGGCAGGTAATGGAGAACCGGGGCTGAGAGGCCTTTTCAGTGACCTTGGCTGCCAAGCCATAGGCAGAGTAGTACCACAGACCCCGCCCCTGGGAAGGACTGGTCCAGGTCCCCCTCCCTCTCCAACTCCAAAAGCAGTTTTAGAGCACAAAGGCCCCAGAGTATATACTCACCAGCAACAGAGCTTCCAGCTGGTTAATATAGATCTCCTCGCTGGCCAGGAACCCTGAGAGAACCAGCTTCCTCATCTCCAGGCCTTTCCCTGCTTCCACCTGTAAAAGCAGATCAAAAGCCAACAGCTCATGAGAAGGGAGACCAAAATCCTGAGCAGCCTGTTTTCTTGCCTTTTTTCTCTTCTTTAACACTTTTGCAGGGGATAAAAGCCAAATACTTATTATAGAAAGTATTTGTAAAATACAGAAATATAAAAGGAAATATAATATAAAATATAAAAGGAAAAACAATCACCCTTACTCCTACTGCTAATGTCTTGCTTTAATTCTCTCCCGTCCTTTTTTTCCCCACATTTCCTTATTTGTATCCATCCACCTATTCAACCTTATAATAGTGAGCAAGATAAAAAAGAACCTGACCCCATGTGTGGGAGCAGTTTAACGGGGGTGTGGGGGGGGGTGGGATACAGACAGTTAAGAAGGGAAATCGGAGTCATGACTGAGGCAGGGCACGGTCACATGGAGGGCACAGCAGGGGCCAGAGGAGGTGCCCCGGGGAAGTGATGTGTAAACAGAGAGGAGTAGGGATAGAGAGGATGGGATGGAAGTGGGCATGGGAACCCCGGCCGAGTGGCCTTCCAGCTACACCTCTGACTATATCTTCCTGTCCCTGAGGGTTCAATCCCACAATGGAACGTGCTGGCTGTGGGCCATCAACTTTACCCCTTGTACCCCCCGACCCCCGCCAGCATTTCCTGACTGCGTAAGGCACAGATGCCAAAAGGCCTCCTCCTCCCTCCAGAATTCCTTCTCTTCTACGGTGGAGATCATACCCCATTTAGCCTTGAGTGGCCACCAACTAGCACAGTGCCCCGCACACAGAAAGTGCTTGAAAACCTTCCCTGAGTGAAAAGACGTAAAATTCTTCTTGTCACCTAAGATCCCCAAGTCATTCCTGGCCCCCTCTTCCTCCTCTCTCCCCCTCCTCTGCCACACTGAGTCCCCAAGCTCTTCAAAGTGTCCTTGCTCATCTCTTGCAAGGATTCTTCCCTCTGCTCCACCCTCTCCTCTGCTGTGGTAGAGACCCACAGCATCCCACTCCCCACTGGATTCCAAGTGCCGCTCTCTCCTGCCTCCGCTCCACTCACCAGAGCCAGATCAGCCTTCCCGGAACGCCACCCTACACCTGAGGCTTGTCAAAGACTTAATGCTGCCAAATGTGATTACTGGGGGACTCAAGTAGGTTCTTCACTCATTTATTTATTCATTCAACAAATGCCCACCAGACCCTGTAGATACAACGGGAAACAAGCATTCAATAGCCCCTATGCTCACGTGGCTTATAATCTAGTGGGAAAGAAAGACGTTAAAAAACAAAAGCGGAAGCCATATAGCACAGGGAGATCAGCTTGGTGCTTTGTGACCACCTAGAGGGGTGGGATAGGGAGGGTGGGAGGGAGACGTGAGAGGGAGGAGATATGGGGATTTACATATATGTATAGCTGATTCACTTTGTTATACAGCAGAAATAACACACCATTGTAAAGCAATTATACTCCAATAAAGATGTTAAAAAACAAACAAAAAAACACAAAAGCCGAGTAAATATAAACATATGACTACAAAGTGTGATGCGGGTTCAGCATATTCTCTCCTTAAACACCGGCAATGGTCCTAGTGCCTCTCCCTACTTGTCCAATCTCCCCAACAGCCATCAGATCTCTGCCTTTCCAACATGCCAGGAATGTTCCAGCCTCTGAACTCTGGTTCTCGCCATCCCTGCTGCCTGAAATGCCTTCTCCCACATGGGGTCTTCTCTCCTGAAGACACAGCTGAAGCCTCTGGCCTGCAGTGTCAGCTCTCGTGTCAGAATCTGTGGCACCACCGCAGCACCTGACGCGTGCCCTATCTTGTTACCTGCACGGTGATTCTGTAGGGTCTTTGAAGCACCTGCGTCACGCTCCTCTGGACACCCCTAAAGCCCAGCACCACGTGATGCCCCTAACATGTGGGCACCTGCCATCTATTAAGCCTTGTAAGTCCTTTCCACTCTCTCATTTAGCTTCATCCCTCTCTCAAATACCTCCCTGAGGGAGGTACTATATTTTTCCATTTTACGAATGGAAACAAACAAATAAGACTTAAAAGAGGGAGGAGACTAGCCCAGAACCACACAGCCAGAAAGTGGCAGAGCTGGGATTCCCCTGCAGGTCCTCGAACACCAAATTCTGGTCTCATCCACTGCTCTGATGATTTCCTCACTCTCCTGTTCCTTTCTCAAGCTTCGGATGCTTAACTGGAATCTCAAACAGATCCCTCTCTGGGCATCAAATGCACACCCTTAGCATAAGCTGGGAGAGTGTCTGAAGCTACCAGAAATCTCCTATGTCCGAAGGAGAGCTGCTTTCCCCCTGCTGCATGGCCACCCCAGCATGTTCTCACAGGCTTTCCTGCCCTTTCCCCAGGTGAAGGACTTAACCCTTGACCTTCCATCAGCAAACCAGTTAGCAATTTGTGCTGGAGGCTGCCTCTCCCAGTCTCTGAAATGTAATCTGATCCTGTGATAGAAGAACAAGGTCCTGCCAAAGATGTCCACCTCCTAATCCACAAAACCTGTGACTATGTCACCTTATGCGGCAAAAGGGACTTTGCAAATTGATTAAGTTAAGGATTTTTAGGTGGGGAGATTATCCTGGGAATGAATGAGCAGGTGGACCCTATGTAATCACAAGGGTCCTTGTGAGAGGCAGGCAAGAGAATAAGGCTATGAGCCCGCAGAAGGAGAGGGAGAGGCGGAAGGGGACGGGGAGAGATTGAGTGCAAGACTGAAAGATGCTACAACTGCTGGCTTTGTAGACAAAGGATGCGGCCAGGAGCCAAGGAATGCAGGGGGCCTCTAGAAGCTGGAAAAGGCAAGGAAACAGGGTCTCTCCCCTAGAGCTTCCAGAAGGAATGCAGCCCTGCTGACCCTTGAGACTTGTAAGAGAATAAATCTGTGTTGTTTTAAGCCACTAAATGTGTGGTAATTTGTTTCCGGCAGCATTAGGAGACCAGCATGGATGCCAAGCTTTAGGGAGAGACAATGGTTATTTATTGATGGTTTCACAAGTACCAGGCACGGTTCTAAGCACTTTCCATGGATTAACTCACTGGAATCCCACAGTCTAGAAGGTGTTATCATTATCCCTCTGAGTCACAGAGAGTGGAAAATGCCAGCTGCCCAGAGCTGTGGGCATCGCAGGCAGGCAGCACCCCCTCCAAGGAATGAGACCGGAGCTTGGAGTAGGGCTCGCAGCCCTGGAGGTGGGAGTGGAGGTCGAGGTCAGGCCTGCTGCTTCCCCAGCCTGACAAATGGGAACTCGCCCTCCCCGTCGGGGGCCAGCGCTCCTCTCCTGTGCCCCGTTCCCTTCCCGTTCCCTGCCAGCTGGGGATTTGCCTGAGGGCCTGGCAAACACCCTCTCAAGGAAGTCACTTAAGCACAATGTGAGCTTAAATGTAGAGCTGGCTGGACCAGGACCAGGGTGAAGACGCGGTGACTCACAGCCCCACCAAGGCTTCCCCCGCCCTGGCATGAGCACAGACCCTTGTGTCAGGCCCCGTGACGGCCCACTGCAGCAGGACCCGCTCCTCGTGAGACTCCAACCTCAGAGTCCAATCTTGAAAGAACCCCCCAGAAGGCAGTAAGTAGTCACCCCCAAGAGTCCCCACTCTGGGCCACATTCACCCTGACATTTTGGCTGGCACGGGGGTGGAGGTGATGGGAAAGGATGTGAAATTAAATTCTGTGCATTTTACCAACAGGTGGCCTGTTGTCAGTTACCACCCAAAACCTCATCCTATGAAAGACGCTACACTGCTGGCTTTCCTCAGACCCCACCTGTCCCTGGCTTGGAATTATCTGGAAATTCACAATTGTTTCTTCAATCCTCCTGGAGCTATTATCATCCCATAAAACACCAGGGCTCAACATCCATTCACTCATTCCCCACCATGTGCCCAGCACTGGGAAGACAAGTGAAGGAGACAGTCTCCGCTCCCAAAGAGCCCTCCAGAGGTGCCCACACACCCAGAATCTCCAGGGAGGGGTTTTCTGGAGTTCAGGGCCCCCAGAGCCTGTGCCACGCTGCTTGCCAGTCCTGCAGCACAAGGAAGCTGCCATCTGGGTGACACTGTCCCCACTTCCTCCCCAAGTGGAGCTTACGAAATGCAGCAGCCACGGGGGGCTCGTTCATGCCCAGTATTTTACATAATCTGCTGGGCTGAAAGTGTCCGCCTGAGGCCCCAAATCCAAGAGGTCAAGTCACTCTGGTAGGGACAGTATCTGCAAGTAAGGCTTAGCTGGCTCTGGCCTGGCCTGGTCTTCTACAGTCGGGGCTAAATAAAGTCTCCAAAGGTTTGGTTCCAGGCCAAGTCAAGACTCTCTCCAGGAGCCTTGATCTCCTCCAAGACAACAACGTGGGCTGAACAAGCAGGGCCACTTGCAATTCAGAGCCTTAGGCCAAGCAGCTCCATAGACAGTAGAATTCAGTCCATGGGCCACACCAGTTTGCAAGGAGCACCCCGTGGATGGGGGGGTCTGGTCAGAGCAGATGCCACTGGGTCTAGGCGCTATGTCCATGCCAAGTATCAGCCTCAACCCCAGGACAGCTGGCCCCTCCCTGAGTTGAGTCGATGCAGGGACTCAACTCCAGCCATTCTCTCCTCTCCCCAGCCCTAGGCACCAGGGAGGTCTCTTTCAGCTAATTCCTCAGCAGAATAGAGGGGGGGGGTAGTGGGGCGGGCACCGCTGGGGGACCCTCCTAAAGGGTAGATCTCCATATTCTGGGCTCCCTGCTGTCTGAAGCTGCAGGCAGGTCCCATGGGGTCCAGCAGTATTTTCAGAGTTCAGCTATTCACATCCCACACCTTTGCAGTTCTGTCATACATACCACCGGCACTATAATTTACTTAATACTGTTCTTCACAACAACTGGCTTCTTAAAAGCACAGCCTTATCCCAAGCATTATATTTGAAATCACAGGAAAGATGTGCAAGTCACTTTTCTATTTTTATTTTTGGTTGCATCACGCGGCACGTGGGATCTTAGCTCCCTGACCAG